TAATATATTCATCATGTATTTTCACACGAAATTCGAACCAACAAAATATTTGATAATTGTTTAACTAAATGAAATGCTGACTTTTTATATGCTGAAAAGCTACCTCACACTAAAATTGACTTTTACCATTGTGGATAAAAGGGTTTACTACCCTCGGCCTAATTATCCATACTGCGCACTTCGTAAAATTAGTTCATCAAAAATTCCTAACGTGATATTATTGAACGTTAAAAATTTGTATCTAACATCGTATTATATTGTACTGTACTTGTATATAGTTCTTTTTTTAGTCAGAATCAGTATTTTTCATTATCTTTGCTCGCATTATGTCCTTGTTTTTAGAGAGGTCGTTCCTTGGGTCTACCAGATGATGCTAGAAGGGTGTGGGTTGTCAACCTCTTAAGTTTATTACGAGGCCACATCTCTTTTTTGAGGCATTGTTAAACTTTTATCTATCATGTAGCAAGTATTTTCAGTGCACGATTATGTCAAAAAGCCAAAAGATTCTCTAATATTATTCGCTAAATAATGGTATTACACTTCCTTTTAGGTTATGTCCGAGATACGGAAGGGTGTATCATTTATCTTGTAGAATATATATTTTCTTCATTTATAAGCGTTTTTTGCTTTACTAGACTCGACTTGAGGCCCGTTGGTTGAAGAACAAGATGGAACTTGGTGGACACAAAGTTGCCCTCCTTACGGGCGAATTGGATGTAGCTGAGCGTGAGGCTGTCATTACTGATTTTAGACGTGCTTCAGTCCGTGTACTCATCACTACCAATCTCTGTGCCCGAGGTATTTCTATCCGCCTTATTCCTCAAAACCTTTATTTTATGTCGTCTAGTCTTCGAGATTTGGCTCGACCATATAAAAAATATCCTAGCAGGATATTATCTTGCCGACAAAATGGTGTCATTACAACCTCGCATTGAACGTATTTCAATCCCTTTTCACCATACTATTCAGCCTCATGACAAGGCATCACATCTAGCACTTAACATTTTCTTATTTTACTTGAAAGTCGCTATTAATATCACTCAACTACTACGAAAAGAACACAAGAGCTTCCTATTAGTTATCAGACTGTTATATCACGCCAAGTCAGGCCGTCTTCCAGAATCCAATCATAAGTTCGCGCACACCTCAGACAATTAATTAGCTAACTAGGAACTCTGAAGGTGGTGAAGGAGGCGATATCCGCTTTCGTTTGACTAGAATGCTGCATCATTACCCCCATACGTTATTCACCCCTACACTTTCTACACTGCCTATAATTCAATTTCACAAGCTACCTTGGATTCAACCTCCTTTCTATGATCAGGCTAGGTATTCGTACTTCCTTGAAGGACACGTCTGTAGTTGGACCACAAAGGGTTGATTTTACTTCTACAGATTCTCTCATCTCCTTTTTTCTAATGCATTTACAATCTTTATTGGCTCCGAATATTTAAAATATTACTGGTGTGGCTTTTTCAGCTATCTTCCAGCTGATGAAATAAATCTAATGGACATTCTTCTTTATTGGATTTTTGTCAGACCCGCCAGCTTTGTAAGCTAACTCCATGAACGTTCTCTTGCGATTATTAGGTACCAAACTAGATCAGATCAAAGAGGCTAGATCAGATTGGATTTGTTGAACAGACTAATGCTAAAATAGAAATGGAGCTTAAGTACAGCGTATAAATTCTACGCATAAGGGCGCAGACATCCTCGTAAAACGCTAACGAGCTAAATGCTCTTACCATTCGATTTTAGACATATTTTACTTGACCTTATGATACTTACTTGTCAACTTATGATTGTTTACTAAATGATAACCTGGCTTGGTTTGGTAGGCCAACCTAAAAGATCATTAGGGAAACTCGTATGCTATATTATTAGCGCATAAGTTGTAATAAGAGAAGTTCGTAAACGGTCTGCCTGAAATAGAGAATTATCGCGATGCTCTGAAGCAATAGTAATCTGTGTAGTGAGAATTACTGCAGCTTAGTTCTATTCATAATTGGGAAAGAACGATTTGTATAAATTTTCCGATGAGAGGTCATTTATTTAATTATTTATATGTATTGTCAGTACAAAATCTTTTGCGTAATTCTATACATTGTGGGAGT